ACAACATTAATACAACTACTTAATTTCTAGGAAAAATGGTCAGCATAATTTATGTTAATCTACGCTCTTTCATAGTTGTTTTCTTCAATGGGTATTCAGTTAATATCCATTACTTAATGCTGCTTAATGTCTTTACAACCATGACTCATTACAGTAACAAAAAGCATTGCCAAAGGCCTAGTATCAGAAAAGCACCCTCATTCTAAATAGCACTAAAGTTTAAATTTCATTTTAAATATATTAATGTTTTAAGAAAGACTTGTCACATTTTAAATTAAGGCTGTCCTTAATGTGGAAAGGGGGAAAAAGCACCGTCCAAAAAGTGGATAAAATTCAGCTGCCTTGTTACAATACCCTCAGTCAGCAGGTCAATCCATATATACATCAATCGTCAATGAAGCAATGAGCTTGGATTCTGTCATGACTGTGACCTTAATTTCTTCATGAGATGAAATATGAGGTATTTTATTTCTGCTGTAATTTGTGTTCATTTTAAATAGAAATTTAAAAGATCCATAAGGATTGCAGAGATCTGCAATATTCTCATGGCTTCTGGAAGAAAGCTGACATTTTGTTCAGATGGGAAGTCAGAACTGGGTTCTCTGACAGAGTTTTCTGAGGTACAGAACTGAAGCCAGCAGGAAGATAAGGACAGCTTTCAGCATCCCAGCATTTTGTGTTCTTTGTCTCCACCTTCTGCTTGGAAAGAATGTGAGTAACAGGGAGTTAAAGCATTGTGATTTCTAATTCATTTGGAAAAATCTAGGAAACAAAATAAATAACAATGGAGGAGAATCTCTCAAATACAAAAGGCAAAAATAAAATACCGAACATATTAGCAATTATTTTAAGAAGGCAAGCCAAATAGTTATGTGACACCAGACTGGTGCTTGTTGCTGACTTGAATTGAGTAGTCAAAACCTAATAGCAACAATAAATGGTCACATGAACTGGTTAAAGATTGAGATATTTCCTGGGGACAAGAAAAAATATGGGGTCAAATCACAACTTGGGTTTGATTTATCTTGATTTAAACAATAATTTGAGCAATAATGGGCAACCATCAAGTCACCCCTTCTCTTACAAAAATTGCTATTGGACTTCCCTACAATGTTGTTATGGAAAATAGAAGCAAGGCAAATTCTCTGGCTCTAAGGACAAGACAATCAGGTTAAGTTAAAAGAACTGCCTGTATTTGTCATGTCAGAATGTCAGCAGAGTATGCCACTGGAGACACATAGAAAGTAGGAAGATATAAAACTTCATTGAAGAAGTAAAGAAAAAAAAAGATACTGATAAGAGTATCTCATAGGTGGTGGATTTCTGTGATTAACAGTATAATTTACTTCACAATATTTTTTTTTTGTTATACACCACTTTCATAACTTTGTTTGAGGAGCAAAGTTTTTCTAATAACTTCATTTTCCCCAAAGACTTCATGGAATATTAAAGGCTTTATATTGAAAAATAAAATGGATTAAATTTTTTCACTGTAATATTTAAGTCTTTTAGAACTCTACTGCACTGGCAGAAACAAAATTAATGTTTCATTAAAATTCTGTTCCCAAAAGAACTTGAAGAGATTCCCCACTGACAAAAATCAGCATATGTTCTCATTTTAATAAAAGCATACTAATTCCTAACAAATAACAAAGCCTACCTGAAAAACAGCCTGTTTTAAAATACCATCTGCCATTATTTTCTGTCATGGTCCATAAATATTTTATGAACTGTCAAATTGATTTATGTATCATAATTGAAAGTGAAAAACATAATCCACCAAAACCAAGTGAGTTAATGAAAGAAAAACTGAAAACAATTATATTAAAAAGAGAGTGTTCAAAGTTTATCAAAATGCAATGGAGTAACTGTATCTATAAATGTTAAGCAGTGCAAACTGACAAGATATGAGAAGATTTACATTGCATAACTCATAGGAAGTTTAGGTAGTAATTAATGCAAAAAGAAATTTTTTTTACAATTGTACATTGCATAACTCATAGCAAGTTTAGGTAGTAATTAATGCAAAAAGAAATCTCTTTTTTTACAATAACACCTTAAACCCGAAGATGGAGCTCTTGACCTGTTTATTTTAAAAGAACCAGAAAAAGTAAAAGCAATACAGTTAGCAAAGGAAGATACTGCAGAACTTCTGGATTTACTTTCTTAGTATCTTCAATAGCATTGCATGCCGTGTTGTGAGAAAGTTTAAATTCTCTTTCATGTGCATATACATTTCACTCGCATAGCACCCATTTTGCTCTGCAAATCTTACTGTCCCCAAATGAATTCCAACTCTCAAACACTCCTTTCCTCACATTTGAGACAGTCTTCCAAACTTTTTTCAAAACTTTTTGTTAAATTTCTTACTAGAATTCCTTTGGAACTGATATGGTACTTGCTGCAGCAGTGTCTAGTGCAAATTATTTTTCTCATTCCTTCTCTCTGTTTAAAGGGTGTGTGTGACCAGGTTAAAGACTCCCATTCCAAAGGGAAAAAATAAAGTATGAAAAAGTCAGTAAGTCTCACAGAAAGAGCCACAGAAAATTAAGTACAAGGGAACTGCTTTAATCACATTTTAAAGTCATTAAATATATTATTCCATCTCTTCTGTCTGAACCCATCTTAACAAGAAGTGGGAAAAATCCTTTGTTTCAGTACTCTCATAAAAAATGAATGCATTTCTGAATTAACTCCCTAATTAAGTTTTTTAATCAGACAAATACACTAGAAATACATAGGGTCTGATTCCTCATTGGCTTGTGCTTTTTACAGACACTATTCAAAGTATGAAAAACAGTTCCCTTTGCAGAAAAATACAAATGAAGAGAAACAGTTTACACAGTGATCAGACACACAGAAGTTTGGGGCAATTCACCCCTAAGCCCAGGCTAGTTCAAACCTCCCATTTTATATTACCATGCCCTCAAAAGGTACATCTGGCATGTAAAATATTTGTTGTTTGAGGATTCCTTGCTCAACTTTAAAATCAGACTGAGCTAATTCAGCAGCTTTGCTACTAATTTATCACATAGAAACAGGCCAAAAGAGCCTCCAGTGAGTTAAATTCGAGTGTAAAATGCTAGCATCCTGTTCAATGCATTTAAAATCTCCTTGGGCAGCAGTACAGACACTCCTGAAACATGGAGATACTGAGTTCTTATATTTCTCAGGGGTTCTGCATATTGGAGGAGTCTCAATTCAAGATAAGAAATAGTAGGTGGATTGTTCCCACACAGGAAAACTTCCCACACTGCTCCACCCTGAGGAGAAAGTTACATCAGCCTCAGGTAAAGAGGGGTCTCTTCCCACTTCTTGTGCAAAGGAGGAACCAGGATATGTTAGACCAAATTAACATTATTCCTATGCCCATTGAGTTGAAATGAAATGCCATTCACCCCCTTAAAGTTTCACATCAAGTACTATAGTCAAGTATTGTCAAGTATGAAATACATCAAGTATTTAATAAAATATTTTTTCTGAATCTTTCAGCCTTAAAATCAGTGTTGGAGTTGAAAAATCAAGTATCTTCACAATACTTTATCAGAAAATTAAATTTAGTCTGAATCTTGCATTGGCAGGAAACAGTTTAGAATAAGCCTTAAATAATTAGTCAATTTATTAATTAATAGACTGTTGTGTTATTATAGTGTTCAACTGTCATTGTTTCAATTCATTTATTTAGAAATTAAAATTCTATAAAGTGATAAGAAATTATTTAAGTCACGGTAACTGCTAAAATTTTTTTTCAAGTAATTATATTTTGAGATAGTTTTTGTAAAGAGATTTCTGTATTAAAAGATTATATAAATAGCAGTTCTGCTCACTTGAATTATTTTTATCAATCATGCTAATAGTCAAGATTGGTTTTCTAGACCCAAGCATATTAATGACAGCTAGCATTTCTGAACTGCCTGTTCATGGTAAGTGCAGAATTATTACCATTTCTATTACTTATCATTTTAAAGTCATACAGGAGAAATAATTTCAGTTTCTAATCTGTCTCATTTAAGTGTAACCCTTCAGACAAAAAGTCTGCAAGATATAAACTGCATTATGTTTTGCAAGTGGATCTTTATATTTTCTTTCTGACAACTACACCACTCATGTGTTTCCTAAGCTCAAAAAGAAACTTCTTTATCATATAGCATGCCAAAGTTAAAAATGCAGTATCTTTTCAGTAAGACAAAAACTTCCTTTAGATGGCTCAGAAAACTCAAATTTAACTAAGAAACTTCAAGAAACATGCTCTACATTGTCCTCAAAAAGTTTAATTAATCAGTTAGGGTAAAACATAGTGCCAAAACTGTCATTATTTAATTTAAAACAAAACAAAACAAAAAAAACTCTAGGGGAAAACAAAACAAAATAAAACAAACAAAGAAACAAAAAAAAAACCCCAACAAATAAACAAACCAAAATTAAAAGTCTCATGTTCTTTACATCACTCTGAAACTCAAATAACACTCCAGTGCAATAAAATGGAAGTGTCTTTTCTGGAGCAGACAATGTCTATGATGCCTACTCAAACCAAAGACAGAATAAATACTCTGATGTTTTAGTGGCTATGTACTGAAATACTGCATGTGGGTTTCCCTTTTTTGTCAGAGAGCAGAACTTTGAATTTCATCTTGGATCACAAGCAGGCCATAGAATAAGAAGATCCAGCACATACGTACACTCATTAAATAACCTGGTTTAATACTACCAGAAAGCTTAAGGAATTTACTGTGTTTGCATTTCAAAACCTCACTGGAATGCAGAGACTGTTATCCCACCCTGGCATGCAACTTTGGCACATGGGAAGGCTAAATACCCATCTCCAGCACTCTCTGCCCATTTTTGTGCGGGAAAGGAATCAAATTAGATAATCCTTGAGCTTTCCTGCATCCATCTGCAAATTCCTACAGAGAAAAGAAGTTCAATCCCACCGAGTGAACGCAGATGGGTAAAGCTCTGGCAGGTGTAAAACAAAACCCACAGGGGAAAGCTCCTGTATCATGGAACAGCACGTCCCAGACAGAAACACCAACACAAGACTGCCAGGCTGCAAAGAGGGTGGGCCAGAGGAAGAGGAGGAGGCGGAGGAGGAGAGGGTGGGCCGGGAGGCGGCCCGGCCCTGCCCGGCGCCTCAGGCCGGGCCCTCCGTCCTTCCCGGCCCGGGAGCTGCCCGGGCGGAGGCGGCCGCGGGGCTTTCCCGGCCGCAGCGCCCAGCTCTGCCTGCACCTCTGGCGAAAGCAGGGAAGGGAGGGGAGGGAGCAGAGCAGAGGCTTTCACATCCTCAAACCCCAGGGAAACATCTGCTGTTGCCGCAGGTTTAGTTAACTTATCCCAGCCCGTCCCCGCTCCAGGGCAGCTCCTCTGAAGCAGCCTCCGACTGCGCCCGGCCAGGGGCACGGGGAACCGTGCTCCCTGCAGCTCTTCCTTAAAAAAATAGAAACCAGGGAAGTCCTGGCTGCTAAAGAACTAAAGAGCTAAACTGGACATTGTCATGGGCATCCGCAGCTCTGCTGCTCCGTCTTCATTGCACTACTACAAAAATACAAAGTGTCTGGAATCCGAGGGCATTTGCATGCTCCTGTGGCATTCGAGTATTTAGAATCTGTGCTGCAGTAGAGAAGGGATTTTCTGAAAGATGAAGGCAAGGAAAAAAGGAGAGAAACACAAGGAATTCTCTGGGGAACAAATAATCTCTGAAACAAAAATATCATTTTAGTGGAAGATTTGGTATGTTTTTACTTTTCCAGAGAACGAAAGCAGTTCTTTATGTCAAGGAATCAAGAATGATCCACAGGCATCCTGAAGCAAAGTAACAGGCAGATGTAGCAGAGAGGACTAAGCCTGGGCAGAAAACCAATTCATCCATGTGCTTCTTTAGGCATGGATCACTTCACAATGTTGACAGTAGAAATAATTCAGCCTTCCTTGGCAAATTCACTTACCAGGATAAACAGGATAGAAACCCTGTCAATAAAATCCAAGACAGCTTAAATTGCATTTCATTCTACAAGATGAATGCAACAAAACAAGGCCATCCCTGTGATGTCTTCCATCCTGTGCCTTACCTGGGTCCCATGTCTGTACCTCTCCTGTCATCACTTTCTACATCTTTTCCAGGAGGAGGTAAGAAGTAGGGAGGAAAAAGTCAATCTGCACCACTGACTGTAATTTCTAGTGTGAAACTGATAATAATTGATATGGAAATTACTGAGTCAGTAAATATAGACACCAGTATGGCATTTTAAAGGCTTTTTACTGGTAGAAGTCAAATTTTGGAAGTTTCTTTCCACTCAGGTAACTGTAGAGTTATGATAGAAAGTGGACAGGATGTATCAGACAGAGTTCTGTGTTTTCAGTGTGTTGGCTTAGCCTTACAGTGCCCACACTGCATATAAAACATTCTCAGCTGTCACTACAATTTGTTAAGTGTGTCCCCTTGAAAGACTACATTACAGTGGTAGGCATGAACTAAGTGTCACACCAGGAGAAATTTCATTAAGAGGTGTTGTCCATCATTATCAAGCAACAGAAAAAAAAAAGCTGAGCACACAATGGCCCTGTTTTTACTGTACCATACTGGATAAATCTCTTTTCAGGAAAGAATCCAGTAGATGAACACTGCCATGCTCTTCTATACACTGTTTTTTCTGGAGAATGACCTCTGCTTTTGCTGTGATTTATTGGCTGGGACTTCAGAATCTTGAAGAAAGAGGATCAAATTGCATCTTTTAAGTTTACTGCATACAGGGAAAATAGAAGAGAATTACTGTTTTCTGATGGACCTGAAAGACAGGAAAGTGCCTTTGGAAAGTCCTCAACTGCCTCGCCAGTTGAACCAGTTCACAAGATGATCACCAAGGGTATCCAAGTCCATTGAAGAAGATGTGTACATCTGGTATGAGGGGTCTTGCGAGCAATCATGGTTTTGCCAGCTTTGAAGAGAGAACAGTAATTATTTCCTTAAATTCTATCTATTCACCTCTCCAGTAGGGGCAAATTATCCTTTATTTCCACACCAGTATGTTGTGCCTTTAACAGATCTCTGCTCAGGTTTTGTGAATCCAGCAGCAGGAGCTGAACAGCAGCCCAGTGTTGGAAGAGCTATTGAATCCCTGGCAGGCTACAGCCATAGGGAACCTCACCAGAGTCCCCATCACAGCCTGACCACAGAGACCTCCTGGAGGAAACCAGCCAGGACAGAAGGGGGAAGTCCAGGGTATGACTCAGAGGTAAACTACTTTTTTAATCACTGAAGGAACTGGTGGGGCTTGACAAATAAATAAAATGAGTTTCTGAACTCCATTCCCCAGGGTCCTTAAGGAACAGTCTTGTAAAATACATTTGTCTTGGATATTTGAACTGAATATCACAGCAGTAAACTCTTTGTATGATTAATTGTTCCTGCTGTAGCAAAGAGGTACCAGTCAGCAAATTCTAATGAGAATTCTATTGCTAAAAAAAATCCAAAACAATTTTTTAAGGTGATTACTGTTTTTTTTTAAATCTATTTATGCAAAATGTGAAGTTATTTACCATAGTTCTAATGAACACCTACTTTAAAGCAAACTAAGAAAACCAAATCACTCCAAAGCTAGGAAATCCCCGTGTATCCCCGGGATATTTCTGTATTTTAGTGTATTTTAGTATTTCCTGACAAGTTGCAGTGCAGCACATTTAGAGACCTGTTCCAGTGTCTGGTTGATCAGAGAACAGAGGTTTTTGAAGACTGCCATCACATATTGGTCAAAGTACCCCATTACCCTCTTATTTCACATTAGTGTCATAAAGATAAATTTGAGTCTGATTATTTTGTAGTGATTGTAGCACCAAAATGGAAATTCACTCCTTATAACATCAAGTAAAATTGGCTTGATGGTTTCTGAATTCAGATGAATTCAGAATTCAGAATAGAATTTTCTGATAAAAATTGTGGAAAGCACAAATACCTGCCCAGGAATTATAAGGATGGACATATGTCGTGCTTTGGCCCGGAAGTGAGTTTCTGGAAAAGTTCAGGTCAAACCAATCAGTGGCCAGATTTGAAATTAGCACCTGGTGTGGCCACTGGGGATTTGGGATACGCCTCTGAGAACACACAGGGGTTAAAAGCAGAGGATTCCCAGAGAACTCCCTCTTTGGAGTCCGGTGTTGGTGAGTGGAGTCTGACCTCTCCCCTGCCCAGCTGCGCCTGGGTGGGGAGGGGAAGGCCATGCAGCCTGTGGGGAGGAGGCCCAGGGCCCCAAAAGGTGCAGGGGGGGAGGAGACCTAGGATGTTTGGGCAGCCCCCCCGGGAGAGAGGGACAGAGACTGTGCTGGCAGCACGGCCGGCCAGAAGTGGGGGATGTGGCAAGAGAGAGTGCCCGGCAGCTGTGGGAGTCCTGGGCAGACAGAAGGGAAGATTTTAACCCCTTTGTAGAATAATGGAAACCTTACAAATACTGATCCTCCTGAATCAGAATGAGGAGAGAGATATGAGAGATGAAATGGGCAAGTGTGAGGAAAGTTGGAAGAGGTGAGAAGAATCCTGGGTGGAAGAGATGATGGAGTGGCCTTGAGCTGGACTCTTTCTTGTATGGCCATGTACAGACCCGTATTTTTTTCCTGTGACCCAGAGACTGTATTTAGGGGGAGGCAATACCTTGGAGTCAGAGTGAAGCAGCAGCGTGAACATAGATGGCTGAGGAAGGTGTAGGATGCCCTCTGTCTCTGTGGAGAAGAAGATCTCTGTTCACGAGGCCCCTCGGCCTCAGAGGGTGAAATTTGGGGGAGACTGGTGTCCCAAAGTTGAGAGACTACTGCTTTTGGAACTGGGTGGAGCATCTTTAAACGGGGAGCCCTAAAAGCAGTCCTGGCCCGTGTCCAGTGGTGAGACCACTGGACATGGGGAGGGGAGAAGTCACGAAAACCGACGTTCTCTGGACAGAATCACGAGTGACACGGAAGCACAGGAGGTTTCAGTTGTGTTTCCAGGGGAAGCCAACCAACATTCTCTGGACAGAACCACGAGTGACACGGAAGCACAGGAAGTTTCAATTTTGTTTCCAGGGGAAGCCTATGGTGCAAGGGGGGGACTCCTCTCCCCCTGATAAATTTGAGAGTTGATTATTTGAGGGGTGATGATGGACTGGAATTTGATTACCTGAGAGATGGTGACTGAGTAAAAATCTAAGCTATTATTTCATTCTGTGAAGAAAAGGGAGGGGGGAGGAGGAATGTATTTGGAGGGTTTTCATTTCTTAGCTTTATGTGTGTCTTCCTTTTTAGATACTGTAATTAATAAAGTGTTGTGTTTTTCCCTCCATCCCCAAGTAGGAACCTGCTTTGTTCTGTTTCCAGGTTACATCTCACAGTAACCATTTTAGAAATACACCTGCCATGGAGGCCCTGGCACTGTGTCAGGGTCAAACCATGACAACATAATTAACAATAAGCAATATGTTTGAAGTTAATTTCAGTGACTTTCACAGAGAAATGCTCATTACATATAGCTAGAACACAATTTTATGGTATCTCACACCACTTGAGATGAGGGGAGGCACTTCTTAGAATGTGGTAGCAAAATGTAAATAAACTCCTAGTTCCATTTTGCTATGAAATAGTGCAGTTACTGCACAGTTAACAATACTTTCTGCATGTTATTGTCCATTGTACCATAAATTATGGCAATGGTTTTGGTTCCCGGTTTCTGTTCAAACTTTGCATTTTAAATCACTTTTTGCTTAATGCAGCCATATAAAAGAACTGTAAGAAACCCAAGAAACCACAAGGGATAAAAAATAAACTACATAATTTTCCTTCTTTTTTTTTTTTCTTGCCCATACCATGTAATTTTCACTCTTATTTCTCATTTACTGTTTTCTTCATTTACATATGAAAATTAGACTGGAGACATCAGTCAGAAATGTTCGGCTGGTTTTTTCTGCAAGCCTCTAGAAAAGTGAAGGGGAAAGAAGATTTGAGATAAGCAATTTTAGCTTCCCAATAATTTTTCCAATGCAAAGAAAAGCGGGCAGAGAGAGACATACTATGGCACATAGAGACACACCTGAAATGAACACAGACAAAACCTGAAGCTGAATGACATCCAGTCAGTAATCTGGGTCAAGAAAGTGCTCTGAAATGGACCGTAGTTCCAGGAAGCAGATAGAAACTGTCTGGTGGCTTTCTGATGTTGTTTTTTTCAGGAAAGTTCACTATTAGACTAAAACGCTGACCCTGCTGAAGTTGTCAGGAAAAGTCAAACTGAACTCAGGGACAAACCTTGAAACAGATATAGTGCAGCATAAATTTCTTAAGGAATTGGTGTAAGTATTCTTCCAAACCTAGTATGCATTTACAAGTTCTTTTGTGGTGCTGAGGTATTAACTTCAAATGTGTAAATATTAATATAAAAAGTAGATGGGTTTTTAGGTACTATTTTTAATGAGACTGCATAAACAAATTCCAGATTTTAGCTGTATGATTCAAACCTCAACTACCAACCCCCAAGCATGTGATGTAAATTGCTAACCTTTCTAGATACCAGTCCCAAGACATTCCACAGCTAAGTCATTTGGGGAAGTTGTGCTGAAAGAGAGATCAGTCAGGCATTTTGTAAGCAAATTCTACAGTCACTTTCTCCACTGTGTCTGGGATGAACATGAAAAAAAGAGAGAGAAGCAGCCTTTGAGACAGATGAGCTGTGGTATATAAAACATCTGCAGCAGGCAGGAGTTCTCTTTTGTGAGAAGATGTAGCACTGTGGCTTTGGCAGTCCACAACTTTGAACTTCTGTAGCAGTCTTCTGCATCTGCTAGCAAAGCAAGCTCTGTGAAGTTCTGTAGTAGCAAAGCAAATGTGAGAAGCTGGTGAAGAAGGTCATTCTAAGACTGAAGAATCAGAGAAAGGACGACAGCTGAGGTGCTATTCTCAAAGTATTCTCTCTAAGTCATTCCATACAGGGGACATGCTCTGTGCTAGAAGACCAGCCTTAGGAGTGTTTGCCTGTGGAGTCCCCTTCTCTCACTCATGACAACAGAATTTTCTACCCTTTGCTCTGTGGTCTCAAGTTTTCTTTGCAGTGGTTAGGAGGAGGATGACCTCATAATTTGACTATACAGGTGTACTGAGGACCTGATGATTAAGTCTTCCTGTCCAGTTTGTAAATATTATTCTATTTGTAGGTCTTAACACAGAGGTTATGGGGATTGCAGAATGAACCAGGTTATCTGACAAGTCTGATAAAAAGCAGAGATGATTTCTTGCCACTGCCAGAAGCTAACATATCTGAAGACACAGTTTTCTCCAAAGCTGGGAAATGAGAAATAGGAAATACTGTACGGTTAACTTATAGACAAAAGTAGTTTACTCATGCTGCTACAAGATTTTGGATTTCTCCAAAAGCCCATGTAGTTCAGCATTTCATCAAAGACTGTGGATGTTTAGTAAAGTTGTCATCCTTTCTCCAAATGTTTTGCTATCATGAGATGATTTGTTGAGCAGGGATTGATGACCAGGAGATTGTGTGTTTTAGTTAAGAGTCACGGATTCAAAGATTTGTCTTCATGAATATATACATTTCCTTTTTAAGCACACCACTTACATTCCAGCTCCCTACTTACAGCTAATTTGTGAATATGTTAGGCAAAAATCTCCTAAGCCCAGATGGGTTATCTGGAGGTCTCTCTACAATGGCCTGTACCCACCTGGAAAACTGATTATTTATCCCTTCCTTCTTTCTGTGATCTTCTAACCAATTATTTATCCATGAGATCTTATCTTTCTTCTACTGTATCTGTAACAGGCTTAGTTGGAGAATTTCATGCAGAACTTACTGAAAGAGTTGTGGTCACCTTATATTAATTTCCATGTGGCCTTTGTATACGAAGAGTCCCTTTCCCAGTGGTTCCTCTGCTGAAGCAGTAAGCATTTTCTCCAGAGTAATCATTACTCTAGAGAAGTAATCATAACATTGACTGAGAGGTATCTCAAGGTAGGATTCCAGTTCTTTTCCATTTCAAATATTGATAGAAAATTTTCTTAGGCAGTATTTAGGTACTTAGTTAAAAGTTTTGAAAGCCCGTAGAAATAGAAAGAAGAAAGTTTAATCAGAAATAAAAAATGTAAAGTGAGAAGAAATGTACAACTTGAAAAACAACAAATGAGCTATTTATGGACATTCAGACCTTGACAAATTAGATGTCTGGACAATGACCAGCCAAATTAGGTTCCTCAAGGGGAATATTAGGCTGGATGTTAGACAAAGATCTTCTTCCAGAGGTTGGCTGGGCACTGGAACAGACTCCCCAGGGAAGCACCAGCCTGAGAGACTTCAAGAATATTTGGGCAATGCTCTCAGGCATATGGTGTGACTTGTGGGTATGGTCCTGGACAGGGCCAGGAATTGGACTCGATGATCATTGAGGGTCCCTTCCAACTCAGATTATTTTGTGATTCTGTGAAAAATGGTCTACAGCATACTCAAAAATATCTGTGCTATTAAGTACCCATAAAACAATGAAATGTGTAATAGCATACTGCCTAATAAGCTAATAGGTCATCTGAAAATGATGTAAAAAATTTGAAATAATCTCTTTAAGGCTGAATGCCATTCAATAAACAACTGTTGTTGTTCACTAAGGGTTAGATTATTTATCATGCCTACAGTTAAGTATTTCATTTTGCATTTGCTTTTCTTTGCCCAATAGCAGAATGATTTCATTTCTGATTCAAAAACTCTAGGTTTTTTTCTGTTGCTTATATTGCCATGCATGTCCTCTCCAATATAAACTGGTGGGATTTATGCCTAGTTAAAAGGAGTTTTCAGGGATACATTTGTAGCCTTTTTTATCAAAAGACTAAAAGAGAGACAAGAACTAATGGCAGTAGGTTATCTTTATCTTCTTTATGTAGAGACATATAGTATAATTAACCAAATAATCAAGTGAAAGAATCTGGAAGAGTCATTTGAAAATCTTTTATTTGGCATTAACTGTTGCTGGGCCCACTAAAGTTAATACTCCTAGTTTTAAAATATAAGGGGTCAAAAACAATGCACAGTGTCTACAAGTCATATACTAACAGTGAGCTACCATTTCTTTTTAAAACGGTTTTTGCTTTTGTTTTACTTTGGTTTTTTAATCTTCTTTTTGCTACTAAGCACCTTTAGGTAGCAGAACATATAAGACTATAAAAATTTTCTAGGAGTCAGAATTTCTGCTATTTAATGGCATTTAGCATAGGATTCATCTCATGAACTTTAGTTTTCTAGAAGCTTGTATCCAGTCTGTGCCTTTCATCTCAACTTCCCGTGTAGAGAAGTGAAGACAAACTGTAGTTTCCAAAAGGGCATGCTGCACCTCTGTCTTCAGCGCCTGTCAGGGACATGGTGTGCCTGCTGTCCAGTCTCTACTTATGTCTCCTCTCCCTTAACTGATTATTCAAGTTCAGACAAAATAAATCCCTTCACCACTGTAAGCTTCCTGGAGGAGAAGCTACCTCTTTCACTTAGTGAGTGAGACCATTTTAAAGAAGATAATCCTGTGAAAAATCCTGTGCAGTAGCTACTTGTTCCCCAGCAAGCAGCATAAAATCCCAGGCTTTTCATTTCCCATTAAAAAAGAAGTCTATACTTTTGTTGCTTTCTACATCTACTTAACATAGTCCTTATTATCTATCTACCAGTGTCATTCTCTAATGATTATATGGAAACTTTTTCTCTACTTTTTTTTAAATTGTTGATCTAGAGCTTACAAAGGAGTTCCTTAGGATAATAAGTTTTCTTCCAAAATACAGCCTCCAAAATCAACAGGGGAGATGTTGGATGATCCTGTTTTCCAGTATTTCACAAAAAGAAGATACAATCACAGACCTAAAATAAGCCAAGTCAGTGAACAATTGCTAATTGTTTTTAGGTTTGCTAATGAAAGGGAGCCTAAATTTTGTGTAGGTCATATACATAAACCCACAAAAATATTTTCAAGTAAAAATAGTCTCAAGTGCACGTAAAAGGTCACCACCACACGCCAGTAACTGCCTCATATTATTTCACATTTCTTATTTTTTTCCCTGGACCTCCCTGTAAATTGATACAGAAAACATGCATGCAGAATGTCAAAACAGAGTGCAAGGAAATTGATGAAAAATTGGTTGATAGGAATTATCTACCTTAACAAATCTCACATCATGTTAGTTTATGTGTGATTATTAACTGTAACAATTATTATTTTTAATAAACTAAAATTCATTCTTGCAATTGGTTCTGATTGCTGCCTGAGGAAACTATTAAGTCAGATTAGTTAGCTAATGTTGCATACAAGAAGCACGTCATTATAGTTTTAGGTTGTCGGAGGTTTCTGAGACAGATTTCAGACAACATCTTTTACCTCTCCACAGAGATCTGGTGTTTTGTAAATTTCAGGTTTTGTGAATATTGGAGTTGTCTGAACAGTCCTTTTATGAAGTCTGTGGACAGTTAATTATCTCAGCAAGACTAAATTCAGCAGCATTCTATAACTAGAGAAGTTAAGATACAATTAGTAACTGTATCAAAAATATTTTCTGCATGCTTCTCCTGTGAGAGAGTTAAATATAAAAAGCAGAACAGAAGAAACCTGCAAAGGGAATGATTGTCATGATTTCATACATCTGATGTTTGCATTAAGACGTGACATCTATGAAAACACCGTGGTAATCATACCCACGCACAAACTCGAAGGGGGTTTTTGCTGTCTGTTCAAAACAATCACTTCTGCATTGGTGTCTTTTATTTACTCTGTATTTCACTTATTCAAATCTATCTCAGAGTGAAGCATTTTAGATAAGTCTAGTAAAAGGTCACAGAAGTCTGAAAAGGGGTCAAATAAGAGCTAAGTTGAGACAAAGAAAGAAAAGTTGGTCAAAGTATGATAGAAAAATAAGAATATGTCTCCCTTCCAAACTATGAGCCAGAAGGTTTGCTCAATGGATAGGCGAGTTGCTGGGCAGTCAGGCATAGAGTGGGAGAGACAGGTACTTCAGCAGGGTGGAAGAAAAGCATAGATAAGATAGATAGATAGATAGATAGATAGATAGATAGATAGATAGATAGATAGATAGATAATGTTATCATCGTTTCTTGAATGATGCTCTTTCAAGGGAATATAGTTGTGCATGGTGAGAGTTGCTTGCAGGGGCAGACCGAGAGAGAAATTCAGACCTGATGTTAAATTGTCCTCTGTCCTCAAGAATTCAATGAAATAAGTGTCGCTAGAAGGGAAGTAGTTAAATTTTAAAGAAAACTTGCATATACTGTCCTATGAAATTGACTGTAGTCGTAACATCAGCAGAGGTTAAAAGATAAGATTCTGCCTGCTGAGCTGGTTCATTTATCATATATGCCAAACTATATATTTGCCACAGTCTTTTACCAAATTCAAGTGAGTACTGTATTATTCCAAGAGCAAAACTTTGACTTGTCACCACCTGTCTTTGGGACCTCATAAATATTCTATCAGAATGTTCTGTCTGGTAAAAAAACGTGATTGATCCATTTTGTAATTTAAAGTGTAAGCCAAAGCTCTCAATCCTGTCTATCCCTTTGTATATGTAAGTACAGTGTCCCTGGGTTTTTTCAACTTTTGTCATTTTTGATTATGCCCAAGCAGTCCCTCTCTCATTTTCTGAAACAAGAATTGTAGCTGGACTATGTTATTTAATGTTAAGGCATTTTCTGGTGCCAGAGGAGAGTGTATGCTGAGTCTCCTTTGCTTGTGGGTATCTCCAACTTTTCACCTGTAAACTAGAACTCAGAATCTGTTATGTCTATTTTGTAAGAGTATCCCAGTCTGATGATAAGGCTAGCCAAAAAGACGAGAGATGACACATTTCTATCTTACTTCCATTTTTTCCCAAGCCTCTCTGAACATATGTATTAGAGCTGTCAGTCTTTATGTGCTGCAAGTTCAGCAGATGATTGCTTTCATCTTGGGATATGCCAAGCACACAGGGCCATTCATCTCTGTGTTCTTTTCTTGTGGACCATTTTAATAAATAACTAGAATTTTGGGGCATGCAGGGTATGGTTCAGCTGCCTCCACCAGCTGTCTTATGAATAATGTACTATCTTTGATTTACTTTCTATCTGCTGTGTTGGTGCAGTAAATTTTGAAGGCAGTGCTGGTATAGACTTAGTCCTACTTAACCATGTTCAAACTTTGAAACCTCACTACAAATGCACTGAACACTCTGTTTCACTTCTTAGCATGATTTTGACACTGCCTTTGGCATTCTTGTTACTTGGGAAAAGGGAAAAAACTTAAAAAGCTGATCTTGGGTGAAAAGAATAGAAACATATTTATTTTGAAACCATACCATACTTTCATACTTCAAATGTTTCCCATTCTTTAGTATTAATGGTCATGTTGCATGTTTGATGAGTAGCATGATTTGAATATTGCCATGTCAAAACTGTGTGATTGTTAACTTTAGTCACTAGATGGCCTTTGAGTGTGCAAAAGTTCCCTGAATGCTATTGGAAAACTATAGTTTTACCTAGGTCATTAACTTTGATGGTTTTCACTTTAAGCCATTCCTAAACCTGTCTTTAGTAGCTTGAGCTGATATTAAGTGTTTATTTGCAAACTTTTGAGAAAGGAAAATGGCAAAAGGGCAAAAGTAACAGCTTAATTATAAGAATTAAATTAATAAAACAAAAGAGGAACTAGACTGATTTTTTTTATTTAAACAGAATTTCTCTTTTCATCAGCCTTTCCTGTGTGTCCTTGAAATGGTCTTCCCCAGTTCACATTTGTGAGGAAAGTACAGACAGGATACTTCACTGGGTAAAGCATAGGGTCAGAAGCTGTAGAAGTATTGCCTTCCCTGTTCTGAAGAAAAGACTTTGTACTGAGTGTTACTCACATCAGATCATGTGCTAAACACTCCTGGTTGTTGGGAGCTGCCCTGTGAGTAGCTGGAATTTTTGAGCTACAGCTTAGATCTATTCATTTATGTTTCTTACATCTGTTTCAGAGTAAATGTACATCCTTTTGCAGTGCATCACATGCTGTTATCTGTGTGGGGAACAGCACATTATTCTTCATACAGCAACAGATTCACAGGTAAAGTGAGGTGCTAATCATTGTAAGGTCGTCACATTAGATCCATGTTACTGCAAAGAAGCGTATTAATCCCAAGTTTTTATGGCACAATGTACCATTCTGATTATTTTATCTCACTTTCTGCACAAGTCATCTGGTTTCTCAGAGCCTGCATCTAACTTTTCTGCTTGAATTATGACAAAAACAGTTTAAAATGGTAATTGAGAAATGACTGTGCTTTCAAAATACAGCACATACAGAATACAGCATAGTGCTGAACAGAGATGTCTGGGTTGTGGTGAAGTTACAGAGTCATTACCCCTTAGCTCTGCTAGATTGTGCTGCTGTTATGGTGGAACTTTGAAGAAAAGAAGCAGATGTGTGCACTCTGCTGCAGGCAGACAACCTATCTGGGACTACTTGCATCAGATGGTATCTTGGAGGATTTGTAAGTCTGAGCAAGTGAATCTGTATTGCTTTCTCTGGAATGCTGCATCTCATTTTTCTGGTTTTCAGTGAGTTCGACCATGGATTTCATTGATTTCTGACAACAGGGAGACCAAGATCTCTGAGATTTAAAAGATTGCGACATCTCAGAGCTCAAAAAAACTCAGTTGTAATAAACTCGATTCCATCTGGAAAATTTTATTACGTTTTTCACACTTGATATCCATCCATGACTGTCAGACATCAAGATTGCTGTGATTTGGAGCAGAAGAAAGAAGGAAGTCAGAAGGCATAAAACTTTGCCTATAATTTGTTTTTCTCACTTTGTGTGTTTGCCAGTAGTTATGAAAAGTTGTGTAAAGGCCGTTAAACTCAACCAAAATTCTTTAAAATTCAGATATATACTTTGGATTGAGAAGCCTAAATATAATTTGTAAGTATAAAGTGTAAAGCTCTCTTAAGTAAATAGTCACTTTCACTCTCACAGAGTAGCAGCAGCACTTCCTGCTTGCAACACTTGGGCAACAACATCAGTGCCCAGGCATTACTCCAGAGTGAGACACTGTTCTTCCCCAAACCATGCAAGAAAGTGGTTGCCATTCAAATTATTAGCAAAGCTGAAAGTAACTAAGAGTCATCTGTCATGTAGCTGCAGAGACAAACAGGAAGAGTGGTGAACCTGGGCATGTTTTTTATGTTAGCCTTGCACCCACCCGCTCTTCCTTTTGGCAGAACAGGAAACCATCTTCTGTTTTTCTTCTTTTTTCTTAAGGAATTAGAAAAAAGATAAAAGTCTTGACCTGAGCTGTAGTTGAGCCTAAAAGCCCCTAATCCAAGATCAGTGTTATGAGGAGCTGCTGTGCATGTATCCAGCACTCTAGATAGTATTGTGAAGTCCTTACCATGCAACTTGGAAGTCTTACAGATATAAATCCAGGTGCAACGTGATAAAGTCATGCACCAAATTCCCACTGGGAATCTGTAGCACAGTTAGGAATGAAACTTCACATATCCTGAGCCCAAGCATGTGCTGGTTTTTTAACTGAACTCTCATATTTAGGCTTTTAAAATACTGCTTTGCTCAGACTTGGTTTTTATAATATTAATTAGGACAAAGTGATGGTCATACTTCTTAAAAATCAGGCTGAAATAAAAATGAACATTTAGGAATCATAATCATGTATTATCCAGCTTTTCTCAGTGGTTCAGATATGGAATAACTGTGGGAGCTTTCAGCACATGTAAAAAGCCATGTCATAAATGTTGTGATTCATCTAGAAGTGCTGAATTTTGAATATGAACTTATTAATAACTGTGTGGGTAATCTGGTGGCAGTCTAGAATAATCAGTAAAAATTGCCCAAAGAGAGCTATGGATGTGCTCTTTGGGTGCTTTTTGTGCTCTTCATCTTTGCACATGAGCAAAGATCTTGGATCATAATTCAGTTCTTCTCATTCTCTTCCAGGCTTTCATTAAAACCTGCCTTTGGGGAAAATCATGAATGTCATAGTCTCTTGAGGTCTGTTCCAGTCCTGGAATATAGCATCATTCTTAATATCCATGGTTTGTATATGCACTCCTGAATTTGCTTTAGAATGATCTTGTTTCTCTTTTTCATCCCCAGATATACTGCAATGTATGCCTAAAAGTTGGAATCTTCTACTATTTCTTTGCCAAGGGTAACATAAAAATAAGGTTTTTTTAAAGAAAGTGAGAGTCAAAGAATTAGGAAGCTGTTGTGGAAGACCGTTCTGAAAATCTCTCTCTGATGCAGTCCTCTTTCACCAAGAGACCACCTACAATTTTTTATAAAACTTATAATCCCATTGTACAGTTCAGTGCTTCATTGAGTAGGCTACACTGTCAGAACACATGTGGTGTAGGCTTGAAACTTATCTTCTTATCCCAGCAATGAATGAGATTCCAAGTTGCATTGATACTTTTTTGTATTTTCAATGTATGTTGCTTGTGTGACTTTTAAGGTACACTGGATAACAGTTGCCCAGTGGTTCAAGTGACTTTTGCAGTATTTTGAAATGTACCATTTTTTTGTGCATACTTTCTTTTTCTTAATTTTTCCCCCTTACCTTCTCTACTTGTCTGCCAACTCTAAATTCTCTTGTATTTGCATTCTTGTTTTTTCAAACCCATGAAGTGTAAATTCCACTGGAATCAGTGAATTAAAGGTATCTGCTTAACAAGATTTCCTGAACAGAGATAGGATTGAAAATCTGTTCACATATTTCACAGAACTGAGACCTCTAGGATTTCTTTTCCAAGACTTTAAACTCTGAATTGGTTGTGTCTGTTTTCCTTGGTTATTTTTGCTTTGTTTCTTAGTAGTTTGATTGTTAATAATTCCCTTATTTATAATATTAATTTATTTGTGGAAGATGAATATAGCATTTGGCTTTATATGTCACATAACTACCCATATATTAACTATAGGTAAGCAGCTGAGTGCTAAATGAGTATGTTTTGTGCAGCTAGCCAGGCTTTCAAAAATAGCTCAGCAACCACACATGAAAACCAGAATTCTGAAAGAGCTCACATTCTGGGTGCATGCTGGTCGCTAAGCTCCTGCGAAAATCTGGCCACAAACACCACAATCTGATCTCCTGTGTCTAACTGCTGCTCCAACCCACATACATACCAAGGAACGGGAGGACAATCCAAATACTGGAAAAAGCATTGTGTTTTCAGAGGAAATTTTGCAGCAGGGCTACAGCGACTTCCAGGAAGGCTCAGAGTGATAAATTCACTAAGCACTTTTGAGAGGTGCCATGTTATTGAAAAGTGAAAATAAGTAATGACAAAAATCATTGTTTATTTTTATTAACAACTACTTTGAAACACTGTCTTTCTTATTTAGAAGTGCATTTTGAACTCAACAATTTTGAAAACTGTAGAAAAACTGCTTTTATTGGATCATATGTGTTTCCAGCATAATCATCTGCTGTTCTTTTTTTCATATAATTCTACTTCACCCCTAGCCACCAGCTTTTTTCCTCTGTTGACTTCTTCCCCAATCTGCTACTGAAACGAGGTTATGTTCTTTGTGGTATTTTAGATTCTGCAGGTGTTTTAAGGGTCAATGGAAAAAGCCTCCCACGCTTTGGTGATGGGGATTTCCTCTGTAGCATTCAGGGGCTGGGCTCTGCTCTGACAGGCACAAATAACTCTTCTCCCTGGTGTTTGGAGCTCCCTTACACCTCCAGTGTGCTGGCAGAACTTAATGTAATAATAGTGCAGCACATTTAGTGCATTTCAGCATATGTAGCAAGGGTTCATATCAATCCAGGTTTTTTTCCTTTATCTGACTTGTGCTTTTCTGTTTAGTGTGTCTTTGCTGTTATAACACAACTTCCTGATTCACTGCAGTGCCTATTGGAATCTGCCTCTTGACATTTGACAAAAGCAGTTAGGACAGTGATTATGTTTTCTTGTTCCACAGTGAAAGCCCCCTCAATTAAGTAAAAAATGGGGCAGTCATCAGCTTTTTAAAACTTTCTACTCATTCCTCAGCGCTCCTAATCCACAGTAGAGGGCAGTGCTTACACAATGCATGTGCATTCTCACCAAGTGTTAGTTACATCCTAGCACATCATCTAGTGCAGTGCCAGAACACTGATAAAACACATTACAATGCTGGTTTTTGACAGGTACAGATTGACAAGGCTGAAGTGACCTGTCCAGT